TGCCAGAAATGTCCTTAAACAGGTTATTTGGGGCAAAGAGGTTCCAATCAATCTAAGTCTGGGTCTCAGGTTTGCGGGGTCTTTTTCAAGTGGGTATATGGCTCTTTTTTCCTTTTTTTCTATCCTTTCAATCGTGAGCGATTCTCGGAGACTGCCTGGACCAGTCCCCGCAGTTTTCTTGGCAAGGTTTTTCAGAAGTGGTTTGCCATTGCCTCCTTCCCAGGGCTGAGAGAGAGCGGCTGGCCCAAGTCACCCAGCTGGCTTCGTGCCTAAGGTAGGACTAGAACTCAGGGTCTCCCCATTTCTCGCCTGGTGCCTTAACCACTGTACCAAACTGGCTCTCAATGTACTTCTGATCTCTCCTCTTATATTCCTGAAATTTTGAGGGGACGTAACCTTGGCTGGGCTGGATAAATGGCCTTCGACCACCACGTTGGAGTTAGAAGAATATTCCCATATATCCGTACAAAATCAGGACGAGTCTGGCAGCCCCTTTTCCGACTAACATGTTTTATTAAAAGGCAGAACTTTTCATGAGCTCCATGCACTTCTCTGTGCATCTGATGAAATGAGCTGCAGTTCACGAAAGTTTTTGCCTTCGCATAAAATGTGTTAGTCGGAAAAGGGGCTACCAGATTCGTTTTGATTTCTTTGCTGCTGGGAATAACACAGCTCTCCTCCTACAGTCCCAGAGATCAGTGTTTTCTCAACTTTTGCAGCTTTAAGATGTGTGGACTTCAAGTCCCAGAATTCCCCAGCCAGGCATGCCTGGCTGGGGAATTCTGGGAGTTGAAGTCCACATATCTTAAAGATGCTAAGATTGAGAAATACTGCCATAGATCAGTGTATATATCCTTGTGGAATCAGTTCAGTAAGAGCCACATCCCTCTTCATTGCTCTTTCTATGGGGAATCTTGTGTGACTCTTATCTACCCCATCCTGAAGAAATTCCCTGGCAAACAGCTGTTTCTCCTGCCTAACCACCATTCAGATATATCTTTCTGGATTTCACAACCCTGTGCCTATATGCACCACTACTCCTTGGGCCTGGAACATGGAATTCATTTTTTCTTTCTTTTCAGCTTTACGTACGTTCATTTTTACCTGCTTTGCTAATAGCTGACCACCGGCTTTGTAGACCTGATTAGTCCGAGTTTTTGATTTGACCGCGGACCCCTGTGAACCTTGATGGGTTTCTCTTACAAACGGCCCTGATCTGCATCGTTTGAGCTGGGCGGCTATATGCATTCTTTAAATAAATAATGATTTGTATGTTTGGATCCAACAAAGAGCAGAAAAAGCTTTCCAAGCCAAGCTTCAAATATAATTCTTGTTTGGGTGTAAAATTCCAGAGTCAGCAATGGCTGCCTCCTGCTAAGCCACAGGTCTGTTGGGAGAGACCGTTGGCTGAGGATAATGGGTAAGGGTAGCCTTTGCATTTGGTAATCCTGCTTTTTCTTTTTCCCCACTTACTTTTTAAAATGAACTAAATTCAAAAAGGCAAAGAACTCACGAAGTTAACAGAGAAGGAAAAAAGAAAGAAACCAAAACGTTCAGGGCATATAATCACAGTCAGACATCTTAAAGTTGCTGTGGCTGAAAAACACTGGTTTAGGTGATAAACTAGCTTAGGCATGGATCACCCATGCGCCAAGCCTTGTGGCCAGCCTGGTCTCTGTATAAAGCCACTTCACTGATCAATATCCTCATCTCTTCCTCCACCATCCCGCCCCCACCCGGTCCCCCCCAGCATCCCTTCCCTGCAGCTCTCGGACATGGGAAATTACCAGTGTGTGGCCTCCGTGAACGGATCTGAAATCTTCTCTGAAGGAGCTCATCTGCAGTTGGAAGGTAAACTTAATATGGGGGTGATTCCCATGCAGAGACCCGGGGAGGCACAGCCGTGCTCAGAAATGGGGAGTCTTTTCCACTGTTGGCCTCAAGGAGCAATCGGCATGAAAGGTCACAGATTCAGCCCCTTCGAGTCATTAATTATTTACCAATATCATTCATGACTCTGGGACTTTGTAGTCTAACAGGGCTGGAGGGCACCAGGTTGAGGTAAATTATACTACCTCTCAAGAGATCTGGTCTGTTGAGTAGATGGACCTACGGCAGTGTTTCTCAACCTTGGCCACTTTAAGAAGGGTGGACTTCCACTCCCAGAATTCCTCAGACAGCATACTGGCTAGGGAATTCTGGGAGTCAAAGTCCACCCATCTTAAAGTTGCCAAGTTGAAAAACAGTGGACTTGATTCACATATAGGACTAAGCCAAGATAGGCTTGTTTGGGATATGGTTGACCAAACCATCCTGGCTTGGCTCATACCGAAGGCTAAGCCATAATGCTGTTAATGTTTGTCCTATGTGAACCAACCCATTATGGCTTAGCTTAGGTATGCACCGGACCATCAGGGCTTATGCAACAAATTGTGGTTTAGCACAACTTGTGAACCCAGCCAATCCTGTGCTTGTTTGCTCAAGCTGTTTCTTCTCTCTCTTGGCCAGGTCTCCCCTTTTTCTCCGATGAACCCCAGGATCTGGAGGTCACAGCTGATACCCCGTTCAACCTCAGCTGTGGAGCTCAGGGACCCCCAGAACCTGTCTTGGTGATCTGGTTGCAGGACAGTATTCCCCTCAATTCCTTGGGTGATCCCCTGGCACAGACGCCTTCCGTGTTGAGGGTGAGAGGTGAGTCGGCTCACGCTATACCCAGTTCTTCTGCTCAGAAACTGGCACCGCTGAACACATATCAAAAGGCAGAAGCTAGCAAGGGTGGGGTTGAGGTGTCACCCAGGTCAGCTGAGATGACATCCATACTCACCTAAATGATTCAGAACATACAGGAGCCTAGCAGTTCCCCCTCCAGGAGGCTGGGATGAGATTATTCCCCAAATTAATAGTTTGGGGAATAATCTCATCCCTTTATGGCAGGGTTCCTCAACCTCAGCAACTTTAAGTTGGGTGGACTTCAACTCCCAGAATTCCCCAACCTTTCTTTTCCTTTCCTTTCCCTATCCATCCTTTCCTTCCCCTTCCTTTCCTTCCCCTTCCTTTCCTTCCCCTTCCTTTCCTTTCCCT